TTGGTTCACCTGAAGAAATGTTCTCGTCATGCATGAGCTATCTCTTCCTGGGCACATTCATACAAATGCAACACAAACAGGATCTGTCTATATCGCCTCTGCTAGAAATGTGAAATTCTGCACCAATAATAAATCTGACTTTTGCAGGAATAACTCTGGAAGCCGCAAACATATATTCTGTGAACTAGCAAAGTACACAACTCTGCCTGGGTTAGAAACTGTTTTTCTCATCCCTTCGCCCACCTGCCTTCTATATGAATGTGCACAGGAAGAGATAGCTCCTTTCTTTATTTCATTCATTCATTCATACCTAATGCAGCTTATATCATTAAAAGACAATATTCAAACAACAGGGAGTATATAAATACTCAAAAAGATCAAACAAATGCCACACGAAAAGACCATAAACAAAAGTAACACCAAAAACACATTTGAAGCAATAAGGCACCACAATGCAATTTGAAAAAAAAAACATCTTAAGCAGCCAGTCACTGAGGGATAGCCTGCATGAAGAAAAAGGTCTTGGCCTGCTTGCAGAAGGACAGCAAAGTTGGGGCCAGGCTGGCCTCCAGTGGGAGGGAGTTCCACAGTCTGGGAGCAGCCACAGAGAAGGCCCTTTCCCGTGTCCCCACCAGAAATACCTTGGAAGGTGGTGGGAGCAGGAGAGAGGTCTCTCCTGTTGATCTTAATACCCGAGCAGATTGATTAAAAGAAAACTGAGGTCGTTGAGATAAGAGTTATCTTTCAGGCCTTTCTGTCTTCTCGCCTCCCCCTTCTTTGAAAAGACAGCTGGCACTGACAGTCCACTTAGAATACCACATTTCTTTTTTTAACCCCCCAGGCTTCTTTTGAAATCTTTTGATGGATCAAAGCCCGCCAGACAGGCAGCAGAACAAGTTCCTTTTTCCATTCACACTTTCCAAACCCCATCTCCTCTCCTTGAAGGTGGTAATAGGCTTTCCTTGAGCCCATCTCCAAAATCCATGGAGGACCGGGGGGGGGGAGGAAGGTGAGAAGAAAACCTTCCTGCTTACGCACCCTCCGTGACAAGACACTCTGAGCTGGTGGCTGCCTCTCCTGGTTCAACAATTCCTTTGCACAGATGAGAAACACCAGTGTTTTGTAACAACTCCGAGAACCCCACTGTCACAGTTACACCAGCTGGGGAATTCTCAGAATGATCCCAATGTTACCCATTATTGTGCGGCTTTGTGCAGTTCTGGACGTAACTTCTCCGGCCAGCGCAAGAGGCAAAGATGGAAGGTGAGAGCAGAGATTTTCCCATTACACGCATGTGTGAGTAGAAAGGACATGTAAGGACTGCCTTACAAAGCAACGAGTGTGATAGTGTGGCCATTGTCCGCTGGGGCTGACCAGATGCCTCCAGGAAGCCAACAAGCAGAGCAGGATTCCCGCAGGATTCCTCTAGCTGGCTCATGTTCCCAAATAGCTTCTGATCCAAGAAACCAGACCCACAGCTATCATTGCGCTTTTGCTAGTACAGTGGTGCCCCGCATAGCGACGATAATCCGTTCTGGATAAATCGTCGCTATCCGGATTCGTCGCTATGCGGGGGGGGGGAACCCATAGGGACGCATTCGTTCTGGATAAATCGTCGCTATCCAGATTCATCCCTATGCGGGGGGGAAAACCCATAGGGACGCATTCAAACACGTTTAATGCGTTCCTATTGGGGAAAAACTCACCACTATGCGGGGAATCCTCCATCCGGCCGCCATTTCCGCTGCCCGGTAAGCGAGGGCAGGGCGCGAAAATGCTGCGGGTAGCCGTTTTCTGCACCCGGCGGCCATTTTGGAACCACCAATCAGCTGTTTTCTAATCATCGCAATGCAATGTTTTTGCAATGTGAAGATCGGTAAGCGAAATGCTTACCGATCATCGCAATGCAATGTTTTGCCACCTAAAACATCGGAATGCCATCACATTAGCGATCGCAAAAAACGCATTGCTATGCGGATTCATCGTTAAACGGTGCGCTCGTTAAGTGAGGCACCACTGTACTTTAGGAAGTGGCTGGCGGACTGACCAGAATCGTACTTGCTTCATGTACTTCGTAGGCACTGCTTATGGCAGCCACCTTTCACACCAGGGCTGACAAACACAGAATTCACAGTATCAACATCACCGATTCATACAATCATAAATCAGCCAACCCTGATTTAGGCTATTACTGAACTTGCAGAGGGACTACAGTATTTAAAAAACAAGAAACAGTCATATTTCACTTTCTCAAGAAAGACAACCTAAGGCTATTTTTAAGAAGAGGTAGCCATGTGTTAGTCTGCGCAAGCAAAAATGAAAAGAAAAAAAAAAGAGGACAAAAAATGCTGGGCCCAAATATAGTCTCTGGTTTGGGGCCATGTCGAAATACAGTGGTGCCTCGCAAGACGGGTGCTCCGTTTAACGATGAATCTGCATTACAATGAGGTTTTTGTGATCGCAAAAGCGATTGCAAAACGACGTTTTGAATGGGGGAATTTCGCTGCGCGATGATCGGTTCCCTGTTTTGGGAACTGATTTTCGCTTCCCGATGATCAAAACAGCTGATTGTCGGGGTTTCAAAATGGCCACCGGGTGCTCAAAATGGCTCCCCACTGTGTTTAGGAGCCATTTTTCGCTACACAGGCACCCGAAAATGGCCGCCCCTATGGAGGATCTTCGCTGGACGGTGAGTTCTTAGCCAATTGGAATACATTAACCAGGTTTTAATGCGTTTCAATGGCTTTTTTATTTTCGCTTTATGACATTTTCATTCTACAGCGATTTCGCTGGAAAGAATTAACGTGGTAATGCGAGGGACCAATGTATTTGCCACATCACGTCGTAATGCGAGGCACCACTGTATTTGCCACGTCGTCCCGCTCTTGTGTCTGAGGAAGTGGACTTGTCCATGAAAGCTCACATTAAAATACAGCGGTTACTCTTCAAGGTGCTTTTTCTTAAAAAAATTATTAGCTCACATTAAAATACAGCAGTTACTCTTCAAGGTGCTTTTTCTTTAAAAAAAATGTTTTTCCTTTTGTTTTTGTCTGATAAAACAGAGGCTATGATGACCAGCAGGAAGGAGGCTGCGTCAGCTTCCTCTTAGGGGTTTAAACATGGCTGAAACATTCAGAAGGGGGCCATCTGAAGCAGTGATGCATTTTCCACAGGAGGACACTTGGGGATGGAGATGTTCCTCACCATAACAAAAGAGCAGTAATTAGAATAGCACAGCTCCTTATAAGGCAAAAGAGGCCTCCTTAAAACATGACCCCCGGGGGAGCCTCCAAGCCATTAAGGACCCCTATCCACCTTGTCCTGTCCATCTTAAGTGTCAACACACAAGGACTGCAAAGTGGAAAAGCAGAAGAGGCGCCCAAAGAGGAGGCCACTTTAAATTCAGTGAAGTAACTACAAAAATTACAAATGAGGTCTGGAAATGTGGTGAAGCTTTACTGCTAGTTTACAAAGGCTCCGGAGACACTGCAAGGCCAGGCCACCCCTCGGCTTGAGCAAACACACCCTTGAAGGGGCCGCATGAGAACCCTTGGTGATTTATTCATTTATACCCTGCCTTTTTGCTAGCAATATACAAGGCATCTTACACGAAGCTGCTGCAATAAAAAAAAAGAATAAAAAAGAAAGAAGCCTACAACTGACAGCAAGTCTAAACAGCTGCAGAAAGACACACACCCCAGCCCCTTTGCAAGCATATATAAGAAAAATTCACTTAATGGACAACACAGAAGAGTGTTCCTAATGACAGGAAATTTTGAAAAACTATAGCTACGGAGAGATAGGCAACTTCACAGCCAAAAAGTTTGTAAATGCTTCAGACTGAGTGATCAATAAAGCTCCATGCAAAAAATGCCAAGGCAGAATATTTATGGGGGCTTCTCTCCTCTCCCTGTGTGTGCTTATCTCTAATTATTTCAGCACAGAGAGAAGAGATTTCTCTCACCCTTCTTTTGTTTTGTCTTTTAGAAGGGGCTAATAGAAGCTGGTTCCTTCATCTGTGATGCAGAGAAAGAGAGAGAGAGAGAGAGGCTTCTTTTTTTATGCATGTGTGGGCACACAGCCGTTCCAAATAAGCTCTAGAAATGATTTCATAAGGCAGGGATGCTCAGAAGGAGGAGGGCTGGCTTCAAAATCACTTCCAGCTTGACGAAGAGCATTTGTTTAACAATAGACACTGGGTGGTGTGCCTTCAATGCACCACGAAATCAAAAGAGGGGGGCCAGAGACAGAAGGGAGACGGGAATACATCTCGGATGAAAGGGGGAGATCATCCACAGAGGCGGACGTACCCACAGAGAAGGATGTGTTGGCACCTTGTTCTTCGCTGAGAATCAGCCTGGAATGAATTGGGAACTAACAGACTGAGGGTAGACAGCTATAGGCCACCAGATGCTGGATGAAGGAGGAGGCAGTGGCTTTCAGAACCATGGAAGGGTAGAACCGGAAGGCACGTCAAGGCCATCTTCAACACACACACACCCAGATAAAACATCCCTGACGGATAGTCCTCTGGCTTCTGTTCAACAACAGAAGGCTTGTTTATGGCCCAGAGAAAGGAAAACAACGAGATTCTTCTCTTGATAAACACCAGCCTCCTTCTACATGCAGAAACTTGTTGCAAGTGAAATCTGCCAAGATAAAAGCTGGAATAGATTGGAAGCCCATATCTGTGACTGGCAACATGCTGCTCCTTTGGGTTCTGCTCAACCACTGGTTAGGAAGGAAAAGCCTCACCTAAAGTTTTGTTTTGTATACACACACATTTAAGCTTCACCTCATTAATTAGTTCAGTTGGATACTTAAATCTGACATTCGTTAAGTGTCACACAGCTCCATTTTATATCCCAAAGCAAAAACAGGACACCTGGACATTATTCCTTAAGGGAACCAAGTATCACAATGCTTTTAATATCAACCCTTGCAAGAAAGCTACCTGGAAAGACAGCGGAAATGGAAAGGTGAGCGCCCGAGGTCCTTACCGTGGGGTCTGTCCAAAGGGAACATTTTGCGCAGTCTTGGCAAGGGGCTCCCGGGGATCGGGGGTGCTGGCAGAAGTGGTCGTACCCGTTTATGGCGGCTCGGCAGAGGTAGCACATCTGGGCCCCGCAGCGGCACGACATACGGTTGCAGCCTTCTGATTTGATCAAGCCGGTCGCGCACTTGTGGCATTTCCTAATCCGGGCCGCCGTCATCTTCTCTTCTCTGCAAGAACAGGCAAAATGGGCAACAAGGTTAGGTGCCTAGCCGAAGAGAGAGCTCCCTGGCGGGCAGCGCATGGTCAAGGGAAGTGGCTGAAGGGTCCATTCCTGGCACTGGCAGTTTTAAAAGAACTCTGGTACCCATGTCTGAAAAGGCCAGGCTCCTCAGCACAGGGCTGATTGTGGAGTAGCTAGTACAAAACAAACAAACAAACAAACTCCACATTGGTTGCCTGATTCAATACACAGGTTCATATGTTCACTGATGTTTATTGTGATTGAAAGTATTAAATGCTACCACGCAGTCTCACGTAACGATGCCTCATATCACGTAGGCACGGTTGGTATTCCACCACCCCCTCCTTTGCAACGAGATCTCCTCCTGGACTCGGGAAGAAAATCTGGTGGCCTTCCAGATGACGCTAGACTCCAGCTCCCATCGGCCTCCGCTACTAGCCGTGCTGGCCGTTGCTCACTGGGGTTTGGAGACCATCTGTTCTGTCTTCCCATCTTAGACTAATACCCATGTATCCCATGGCAGATGGCCCAACCCCACCACAATGATCTGGGGAGAGCTACAGAGCGGGAGGATGGAGAAGAGAACGAGGGTCCTATGGACCGAAACAAGGGGGGGAGAATGGTCTAAGAAGCAGGAGAATAAACTGGAAAAACGAACTAGAGCTGTGATCCTTTTCAGGGCTGCAACATTTAAAGCCTGCTAACAAATTCCCTCAATATCAGCTGAGAACACAAGACAGGATTATTCACGGGTCAAATGTACTGTATGAACATTCTATAGGCCGGATGGCAAATAAGTCCCACTGAACTCAATGTGGCTGACCTGGAACAGAAAGGTACAAGACCGCACCAGAACTTGATTCAGATTATTTTAACTTGTTTATTAATTTATGCTTTTTCTGGCTGTTTATATGTATTTCTATTAGATGCCAAGTACTATTTGTAAGAGTGGTTTAATTTCTGTTTATGCTTACGGCCTGATTGGCTATCAAGCAATAAAGTAATTTTAATTTGCCAGCGGACGCTGGTGAATTCAGCTCTACGGCCACCGTAGGTACTCCATATCACATCACAGTAATACATTTAATGATGTGTGTGATTTGTTTTAGTGGCTGCTCCTGTTCTTGGGCTGATGAATGGTCTCTGGCCTCATTCGAAGTTTCCACACGGGGCAGTCCTGTCGTCCCCCCCCCCTCCAAATTCTTCTGCAAACCAATGAACACCAGAGTGTTTTCTCAAACAGGTCTCTTCCCAGGAACTGGGGTTGGGGGGGAGGGAAGAGTCCTCTCTCGCTCTCTAAATCCAGTCAGGTTTCTAAGGAGGCCCTCATTGCTGCCAATTTAGAATTAACATATGATGAGTTGGGGACAAATGAAGTGAAAAAGTTCATCAGAGGCCAACATTCTATGGCCTGAGATCTGGTTTCCCAGACAGCCGCAGAAGCAGCCGATGGAAGCGTCAACCTAGAAATAATTTCCCCTCCGGAGTCAAGGGGCACAAGGATGCTTACTCCTGACGGGTGGAAAATATACAGACCCGGCAACGAAAGAAGCAGGAGGCACAACCTCCAACACAGTCATTTCACCATTTTTTAAAAACCAGGGCCTGTTGCTATGATGCTCAGTAAACACCAGTCTGTCAGGAGTTCTCAGATTTTCTTGTGCGGGTTTCACAACCCTTTCATTATTTCCCACTGGTACCGATGTGGCATGAGTCACACCACCTCAGAGGTTTGTTGTGTTCTGTTTGCCCTTTGAACAGTAACGTTTATTTCTCTCCCACCTAATCTCGCCGCCCCCCCCCCACAACACACATCCCTCTTCTTCCATTTTGACATCCGAGTCTGAGGAGCAATTCTGTATAACCCCAAAAGGTAAAACGGGCATAGCAGAAACTTCCTCTGCAATGCAATTGTGTTATGATGAAAAAAAGAACAATAAGACTCCTGCCACCAGCAAGCAGCATGACTAAGAAATGGAGCAAGATGGTGGACATGTATCTGCAGGGGTTCAGAGGGGTTTCAGGAAGGGGCATTCCCCAGCCTTTACCTGGAATGCCAAGGTTGTATTTCAGCCTGCTGTACCAGATGCACACGGCTTTACCCTCAAGCTGAAGGATCTGTACAGAGGAAGAGATGAACGGATGCAGTGGGTTCTGACCTATGAAATTTTGGGGAACCGCCTGGCTTCAAGGAAGGTCCTAAGACCATTTGCTGCTTCTGGTGCAACCAGTTTAACGGGGCTATCCACTCCCGGGAATCTAACGGAGGAGATTCAAAAAACTCTTTGCAACCTGGGTTCGCTTATATGACCAGCGCAAAAGCCTACAAAACATGCAGGGGAAATGACACCAACTGCACTTCAGTCCTTTTGGAATAGGAACATTTTTGGGGGGTTGTGAACAGTCTGGGAGCCCCCTTGAAGAGGAGGCCGGCGGGAACCCCACCCAAAACTGGGTGGGAGAAAATCCAAAATGGAAAAAAAAGGCATTAGAAGGAAATCTAAAAACCGGCCGTTATTCGTGTCTGTCTCCAGAACATGTGCCCATCTAAAAAGGCAGGGAGCAGAAAGAAGAAACAGATGGATTTATACAAGCATCGTACTTTTAAAAAAGGAATCCCTTTGCGTGCAGCCTCAGGCAGCTCCTGAGGTTTTTTCAGGAGCGCGAAGGGTTAGAAAAAGAAGCAGGTCTGAGGCTGAATGGACAAGAAAGGTGCATCCTGATCTACTTCCCTGATTCGCTTGCAAGGCAACAGGGCTGAAACCGACGCAGAACTCAGTGTTTCCTGGCCTGTTCGGCAAACCAAGGGCCAGTTGCCAGGTCCAATTTTTGTGACACCAGTGGCTACCAAGCATCCAGAGGTTGTGGAGTTCTCTTTATTAGCACATCTGAACACAGAGACACCTTTTCCTCCCCTCGCCATCTTTCATCACTTTTAAAATCCCTTTCTAAAAGCACACAACCGAATCCTCCTCCTCCTCAAAATAATCTTAGATCTGCAGAGCCGGAAGGGACCCGGTGGATCATCCAATCCCGCCCTTGCCAAGGAGGCATCATGGGGGGGGGGATCATCAGATTCCCAATACTTCTGGCTCCAAAGCCAGAGTCCTCAACCACAGAGCAGTTCCACCTGAAGAAAAGCTCTCTGTTCCTTGAAACCCTGCAGATTGTTTTATGAACGGCTGTCATCGTAGAATGGCTCAACACTCCCTGCAACTGTTGTACTTGTGAAAGTTGGTAGCCAATGTCCAGGGGCACTGCAGGGTCCAGAGACACGAGCATCTTGTGTCTTTCATGGGATCTGCTGCAAGTCGCCGTGTCTCCTCCCAGCCTCCTTCTGAGTACTGTGTTTGCACTTCAGGCAGGCAGTCAATCAGGGTGCAACTGATCCTGCACTCTCTCGCGATCTCTCTTCCGTTCTGCTCCCCTCTCATCCTCCCAACAGGAAACTCTGAACAGAGCAGGAAGCTAGGCTCTCAACGCCAGCTGCGCTTCCTCTTCCCATGGCTCAAACAGGAAGTTTTATTGTCTAAAACAGAGTAGAATTTCAGCTGCGCAGCAGCAGCGCCCCAAAGCAAATAAACTCGGTTACAATGATAGCCGAAACAGCTTTCCCTTCTCTTCCCATCTGCACTGAACATCATTACACTGTAGGATGAAGTTTAAAAACCTTGCTATTTTGGGCAAAGCGTAGCTTGACGTGACTGCTTGAACCAGATTCTCTTTTACCGCTGGGGTGCAAACGGCACGGTGGCCTATGTAAAAAATTAGCAAAACCAGAACCGCACAGCCACAGAGCACCTTATGGCTATTTACAGACATCTATATACAGACCCAAGCCGCCTTGGCTTCTTTTTACATAAATAAATAAACAAACAATATTATGGCTTTATACGGACATAAGATGCTCTGGGAACTGTCTGTGGACGGATTTACTTATTTTCAGCACGTCAGCAACAAAGAGGACATACATGGAAGTGATCTCCTCATTTTCCCAACGAGGACAGTTGGCGATGAAATCAGCAGAGATGGTCTCACTAGTGCAGAGGTTCCCCAGATGTTCTTGGACTAAAATGCCCAGAAGCCTTTGCCACTAAGCTGTGCTGGTCAGGATTTTGGGGAGCTGCAGTCCAAGACCGTCTGGGGACCCAAAGTCGGGAACTAGCGAGCGCTTCCCTCGTCACATGAAACCTTCTCCTGCAGGATCCTACCAGCTATCTTCAGATGCAAACAGTCCTCTGCCGTGTTGCTCTGCTCACTAAATTTGAAGCCTGAGTGCGGAGAAGCTGAGGCAGGAATTTCATGAGCACAACCACCACCCAGGACCGGAACCTCTGGCTCCTGGCCTCCAAACGGGGCAGGAAATCTTTGGGTTCTAGAGGGCTCTTGGAGTAAAAAGTTACACTTTATTCCACTGCATTCACTCCCCACTGCCCTCTGTGCTACTTTCCAATTGCTCAATTGTACTGGCTTATTCCTGGACAGATCTCAATACCTGCTAAAAATATTTTCCTAGCTGCCACACCAAGAAGGGCTGACCATTACTTCCCAGACCTCGATGGCCCTTGGGCTCCTGGTATTACAGGATCTGTACCTAGAGTGAAGGCAAGAAGTACTTAAGAAGCCTATCTCTTGGCCGCCCTTGGCTCAAGGACGGGCAGAAACCACTGTAACACTCACAAAGGGCCTGATAACAGAGAAGCCCTTTGGCTCTTGCTGGTGTTGGCTAGAAGAGGAACACAGAGGGGGTCCCGCTTCTGCACCACCTGCCTGTCCCTCTGCAGTCCCTCAGCTTCTAGGAAGACCAACCAACTCACATTAACGGGCACCCAGGGCTGTAGCTCAGTGGTGCGACAAAATGCCCTTGCATAGAGAAGGTTCCAAGTGCAATCTCTGGCATCGTTAAGCAGAGATTTAAAAAAAAGGAGCACCTACCCAGGGTGTTTTACACTGCTGAACAGTGAATAATACAGCATTTATCAGCAGGTGTTTTGGGGAACTGCGGCTTTCCCCCTGAAAACTGCAAAAAAAAGGGGGGGTCTCCAGCTCCCTGCTCGCCCACCTTTCCCTGAAAGTTACTTACATAGAGGTTCTGTATTTTATGTCATCCTTCTCAGCCAACTGTTCACAGGTAAGGTTCATGTGCTCCTTCCAAAGGCCCTGGCATTTTCTGCAAGTTTCCTAGGGAAAAGAGGCAGACCCTATTACACATCAGGAACATACAATGGACACAAACCGTCAGTTCTGCATGTATTTTGCAAGGAAATACTGAATCCTAAGGTGCATTGTATGGCAACCATAATTCTGCAAGCATCCGCAACAGCTTGCTGTTTCCAAAACCCTGTTCTTCAAAGCACTGTGGTGTGTTGGTACATCTTTCAGCCATGAAGAAAGAGGAGAGCAACCGACTGCCCTGATCATTTGTTCACATCCAGCCTTCTACACTTGGCTTCTGTGATTGTACCAGAAACTGCCTGTAAGGGGCTGCAGATTCTGGAACCGCAGCAGCAACTTTGCGAACCAACTAATGTTGGTGCGGGAGCCAACTCCTGGGCTCCTCCCTTGCCCCCAAAACCTGCAGCAACTTTGCGAACCAACTAATGTTGGTGTGGGAGCCAACTCCCGGGCTCCTCCTCGCCCCCAACACCTGCATTGCCTAGCAGTGGTCCCCAACCTTGGGCCTACAGGTGTTCTTGGCGTTCAACTCCCAGAAATCTTGGCCAGCAGAGGTGGTGGTGAAGGCTTCTGGGAGTTGTAGTTCAAGAACATCTGGAGGCCCAAGGTTGGGGACCATGGGCCTACAGGGATCAGCAGCGTTGAGCAGGTTCTAAATACAGATCACAACACTTGAACAGATTTAAGAAAAGCAGGTGTTACTCTGGGCTTTTGATTTCATTCACCAACCCATTCGCCAAACGATGACTTTCTTTTGCCCGTTGACCACTTGGCCAACTTGGATTCGATTGCCCAAAAGCTAAACTGCTTCAAGGGTTAGACGGGGGGCTGTTTTCTAGGATCCGCCTATCAACACTAAAAGAGAGAAGCAGCCCCATGTTGGCTAAACGTCCTGTCCTCTGAGCGACTCCTAGAAAACAGACCCAAAAGAAACCGCCCTCAAGGCCAGTGAGTCTACAAACGCAGGATGAAACCACCAAGATGGGCCTCCAAATGAGTGGGCTCCTTCCTAAGATCTTTGAAAGTCTTCAGTTATCACAGGCTCTGGCTAGGTTCACACATGCGCATCGTTCGAACTACTTTGTGAGTGAAACATCCATCAGGAAGAGCACCTCTTCTGCCTCTCATCATCCTAATCAGGGCATCCATGAAAACATCCTCCCCACCCATGCGTATCTCCCCTTCCATACAGGCAATCTATTGCTGCCACCCATGTTTTTGCTTATAGTCCACTGAATCGGAAAGGCAGCTGACCGGAGAGGCAAGGGGGAGGCCTGCTTCTCCCCAAACCATGTCCTCGGTCCCTTCTGTCAGTGCTCAGGGTTTCCACCTGGCCTTGCCTGCCTTTCTGGCCCGTGCTAGCATTGCAGGTTAACCGCCCATGAAAATGTTCCGCTCCTCTGCCCCACGATTTTTCCCCCAGCCCTTTGTGTGGACGAAATGGCTCGACGGGAGTTCTGCAGGAGATCCAGAAGGCTCACGACGACAGATGCTGTGAAGGCGCTCTGAAATTAGCAAACCTGCTCAGAGAGAAGACGCTAATTTCCTGACCAATGTGGTAGCTTAAACCACCAGGTTTCCATATATGGATGAAAGAAACAGGAAATGGCAAGCAGCCCCCAGCCCTTTGTGTGGACGAAATGGCTCGACGGGAGTTCTGCAGGAGATCCAGAAGGCTCACGACGACAGATGCTGTGAAGGCGCTCTGAAATTAGCAAACCTGCTCAGAGAGAAGACGCTAATTTCCTGACCAATGTGGTAGCTTAAACCACCAGGTTTCCATATATGGATGCAAGAAACAGGAAATGGCAAGTAGACACAACGTGTGTTTTTTTAAAAAGCCTATTAAAGGGTTTATTACCAACAAGCCTTTCTTCCCCAGCTTGTGAGAACACTTCCTGGGGAGGATGGAAGTGATTCACACCGTTCCGTTCTAGCCGTTTGCACTCATCACTGCCTGGCCTTATTGCCACTTAGAATAAATTCAGTGTTGGTGTAGAATTCACATCTGCATTTCTAGGAGGAGCGTGAATGTTCAAAGGACAGAGGCATCATGGTGCATGAGTGAGAAAATCCCTGATAGAATTCACATCTGCATTTCTAGGAGGAGTGTGAATGTTCAAAGGACAGAGGCAGGATGGTGCCTGAGTGAGAAAATCCCCGAACCCTTTACACACCTGAAGCAATGCAGAGCTCCCCTGTGGGAAGATCATCATCATGATCATGATCATCATCATCATCATGTGCCATTAAATCAATTCTGACTTATGGTGACCCTTTTCAGGGTTTGCTAGGTAGACAGTCCTCGAAAGCACTATACCCTTCGCTTCCTCTAGGGGGCAACCTTGGGATGATGCAGCTTGCCCAAGGCCGCCCAGGCTGGCTCTACAGGAGACACAGTGGAGAATCGAACTCCCAACCTTCTGGATCCTCAGCATAAGCCCTGCTCCGATGATTTCAAACGTATTTCTGCAGGATCATTTCCTAGGGCAGGGGCAGGGAACCTCTAGCACTCTAGATGATTTTGGACCAAACTCCTAGGATTCCCAGCCTGTACTGCCCATGATAAAGGGCGTTGGGAGTTGCAGTCCAAAATATCTGAGAGTCAAAGGTTTGCCACCCTTGTCCTCAGGGAATGAACTCCCAGTGTTTACCATGTCAGCCTGAAATACGAACCCTTCCCCATCAAGTGTGTGCATGGGTGAAACAGTCCTTTTATCAATGCATTTTGATCCACCAATCCACTCCCTGTGGGAGAGATCCCCTACCTATTCCGAGACATGCAGACTTTCTTCCCAAGGGCCTGCCTGCAGCCTGAATTCTTCAGAAAATGTGAAGTTGGAATTCAGCTGAAGAAGGTTTTTCCGTCTTTACGAGAGGCACCGATTCATCGGCCAGGGGATGCTGCCACCTAGTGGTGGAGGGAAGCAACAGCTCCGAGGCCACATGACCGACCCATCGACTGCCTTAGCGTCAAGGTGCTAAGAGGATGAAACCGGCGTTGACAGCTGTGGAGCCAAGGAAGATGGGAGCCAACCCTCTTTAGCATAGCTAAGTGCTTTGGGGAAACTCTGTGTGTTGACATGGATCAGGAAACTGTCTGGGCTGGGTTCCACTGCCCTGCAATCCAAGAGGATTATGTAAACTGAACCTCATGTGCCAAGGATATAGAGGGAGATTATCACAAACCTCACAGTATTTGGATATATAATGTAAATTATTTGTCCGTAATCTGTTCGAGGGCTGACGAGACTCAAGTCTCCTGCTCTTTAGAACAAAGGACGCTACAGCAGCCACGTGAAACCACGCACCCTGTCAAGCCTCACATTGTACAAAGGAAGCTACTGATAACGGGATAAGTGTCCTTCAGAGCACTTAATCTTAGCCCTAGTTTTAATAAATAACTAAAAATGAAACAAAGAAAAATAAACTAAATTTGCACTACAAACACTGGAAAAAAAAGATACCCAAGTCTCTGAATCTATAGCAGTGGGACTCATTCATTTCAGAGTATGTTAATGACAGTGTGTCTTTTAAAACGGGAGCTCTTTAAAAAAAATAAAGAGAATCATGGAAATATTAAAATCAGGGTGGCGTTCAGAAAACAAGATGCAGTCCTGTCGCAGGGATTCAAACAACAGTTGAATCATAAGCATGTTATTACAGAAGTCAAGTCTTGCCGCTCTTCACGCATGGGAAAAAAAATGTGGATCTTAGGCAGAAGCACACACAAGAACAAAGTATTTCAAGAAAAACATGCATGAAAATGTAGATTAAGTATTGCACATGCTTAAAAGATTATTAGAGGCTGACACAGAAACGGGGTGAATTCAAGTGAGGACTGGAACAAGGAGAAATAATGAAAGTGAAATTGACAGATTAGATGTATCTGTCCCTTCTTACAGCATAATCAAAACAAACATTTGAATAAAAACTTAAGAATGGTAACAAAAACTAGAATGCACTGCCAATAAATGGGGGGGGGAGAACCCTCTCCTGGCGCCTCTAAAAACCTGAGAATTAGGTAAGTATCCTGAAATGCTAACATCCTGATACCGTAATTTAGAAGAGCAGTGAAATTTTGGATGCTACCACCGAAAAGGCACTGCGATCCCCCCCAAACTCAGATAGTCAGCCCATCTTTGGTAGATGATGGTGGTGCAGGAAATGACGAAAACATGAGCCTGTTAAAACCTTTCTGCCCCAGCCAAGGGCAAAACTGGGCTAGATGCGCTAATTTAAATGTCTGAAGGCACAGCTATGTTAAACAGACTTCATGGTCCCGTATAAAACCTGCCTATGTTCTGACTCACCTAAGCAGAAGCCTCTGTACTGCAAGGTCAGAAGACCAGCTGTGGTAAGATCAAATCCACGTGATGGAGTGAGCTCCCGTTGCTTGTCCCAGCTCCTGCCAACCTAGCTGTTTGACAGCATATAAAAATGTGAGTAGATAAATACGTAAGTACCACCTCGGTGGGAAGGTCACGGCGTACCATGTCTAGTTACGCTGGCCATGTGACCACGGAAACTGTCTACGGACAAACGAGTCAGACACGACTGGACTAAATGGCAAGGGGAACCTTTACCTTCTGCAGTCTATTAACAAGAACAAAAAGGCTTAATAGTTTTAGAATAGGGGAAATGATGGTGGAAGCAAACCCAGACTAGAAGGGAAGAAAGTCACTCTGTATGCTTCCCCCTCCTCAACATACAGTATATACAGTATTCAGGTTCAAGCAGCTAGTAGTGCCTGGTTCATTACTTTTTCAGATAAGGCAAGTTTATTTGCTTGGGCAGACCTGCAGTATAGATCAGTGGTTCCCATTCTCAGGTCACCCGGGTGTTGTTGGACTGCAATTCCCAGAAGCCTTCACCACCAGTTGTGTTGCCTGGGGTTTCTGGGAGTTGCAGTTCGAGAACATCTGGGTTCTTCAAGGTTGGGAACCACTGGTTTAGATTAATGCACCTGTGACCTCATACTTTTAAATTAGCTTCCATGGGTCTTT